AGTGGGGTTGAGTTCATTTTACAGATGAGAATCGATTTAGTTGCACGAACGATTCTGAATGTCTGAACTCGTGGACAGAGCAAAGAACGCACAATCGTCCCTACAATATCGTTAAAAGGCATTGGTTCAGAAAAGGCAAAGTTTAGTTTGGGGAAGTATAAAGCCTCGTTTTCATTAGTGCGCTGCAAATACGTAGCGTCATTGGAAGAAACGTATACGCAGACAGACGACCGTTTTACTGTTTACTCGAGAACTACTGGCTGCAATTAGAGAAGAAAGGGAAAGAAAAAAAGAACGTGAAAGAGAAGAAAGAGAAAGAAGAGAAGAAAGCGGAAAGCGAAAGGAAGAGAAAAAGAAGGAGAAAAGAAAGAAGAAGAAGAGAAAAGGAGAAGGAGCAGAAAAGAGCAGAAGAGAAAGAGAAGAAAGAAGAAGAAAAAGAAAAGAAACGAAGAGTAGAAAGAGAAAGAAGAAAACGCGAAAGGGAAGAAATAGAAAAAGAACGCGGAAGAGAAGAAAGAGAAAAAAGAGAAGAACACGAAAGGGATGAAAGAGAAAAGGAACGCAAAAGAGAGGAAAGAGAAAGAAGAGAAGAACGCGAAAGTTTTTTTTTTTTTTTTTTTTTTTTTTTTTTTTTTTGTGGGGCGGGGTATTTAATTATGGCAAAGCACACTAGGGCTATCTGCCTAAGGGGAGGGATGCCTTCGTGGAGGACTTTCTATGGGGAACTGGCTCAGAAGAACGCGAAAGAGAAGAAAGGGAAAGAAAAGAAGAGCGTGAAAGAGAAGAGCGAATTAGAGCCTTTGAGTTATAGAAACTTCAGTTGGAAGCAATGGCTGCAACAGCACAGCCGGTAGAAACTACGCAGTTACCTGAGCAGCCTTTAAAAATCAGAACTCACGATTCATGCCACGTTTCAATCCTAAAGAAGATGAAATAAATTTATTTCTTATAAGCGTATCTTCGAATGATGATTTGTTAGAGACATATACAATTAATGGTTTAGTTAATGGGTATGAAATGCCTATTCTTCGAGACACAGGAGCCTCTGTTGATGTTATTTTTCGAAAATACATAGATAACGCAAAAATGACTGGAGAGTATGTCTGGGTATAATATCTTTTAAATGACCATTTAGTTGTCTACCTTAGTAAGTTGAAATTAATTGCGAACTTGGTCATATAAAGACAAAGGCCGCTGTTGTTACAAATGATCCCGGCAGATATGCATTGGTTAACAAAACTGCCCATTTGTTCAAAGATAAATCATTCTTAAATTTAGAAAAAATAAATGCGCTTTTGACGCGATCTCAAGTAAAAAGATCTCATGAAGAAGATCGAAGCACAGAAATTGAAATGGAGAAACAAGAAGAACTGTCTGTTATTGAGACTGATGAAGCTATTTTACCGCAAGCTGATGAGGAAGACAAAGAAATTAAGAAAATAATTCAAAGGAATTAATTGATGTTCATTCAAAGGAATTAATTGATGTTCATTAATTAATGTTCATTCAAAGGAATTAATTGAATCTCAGGCATCAAAGCAGAGATTTAGCCTTATTACTTACCAAAGCTAAAAGTGAAAATTTCGGAAATGATTTCAAAGTAAAGGAGAACGGGCTCTTGATGAAAAAGAAATTAGATAAAAATGAAAATGAAAGGGGATTAATTGTTATTCCTGAAAAATATAGGGATCAAATGCAGAACTATTCATCTTTGATGCAGATCCAAACAAATAATAGTGTTAAAACTCAGGGTAATTTGGTCAATCACCCTCCTAAGAGTCAAGCCTCTGCCAATGCTTCACAGAAATCAGACAAACAATCTAAGCCTTCATCTACTGATGAGAAAACTGAAGTTATTAATATGAAAGCTGACTCACCTTGTTCACCTGGTGATTCACCTTTTATGAATAGTGTGTATGATTATTCCTCTACAAGCTCATCAGTTCCTTCTTCCAAAAACGTAAAGATGTGTTTGACATTTTGTTAGCAGCAGATCAAAGAACTTCTTATAAAAGAACTCATGAAGGTGCTTCTAAAGCTGAGAAATTAAAAATACGTTCAGAATCTAAGCTCGCGTCAGAAACTTAGCAAAGAGGCATAAACATGATAAAGGATACTCAAAGTTGGCCACATTCAGTGAGACAACAAGTAGCAGATAAGAACATCTCGCAGAGACCAAAAACTATCTGACAAGAAAGAACTGACAAAATTAAACGATTCTCTATAGATAAAAAAAAAATATTTTGTTCCTTCCTCTCTTTCTCAGTCTATGTTATTTCTTGTATTTCAATTCTATATTGTGCTGATATTGTTGTTTTGAAGAAAATAAATAAATAAACCGTAAACATTAATTTATAAAAATATAAATTAAAGTTTATCTGGAGGGGGAAGAGGTTGTAATATCTTGTTATTTAATAAATAACTATATTTATTGTTGAAGAGGCAACGCCATATTTGCATTATGTAACCGTTGCTCAGCAACGTGAGAAATTGTTTTAAAAATTAGAATTCTGAAGTTTTTACCAGCTAGTAGTAGTATGAAAGTTTTGCCACTAAAGAATTTCTTTAAATTATCTATCTCCGTGAATTAGAAATAAAATTTATGTTCTAATAAGAAGTTTGCCTGTTTTGTCAATTACTGCAAAATACATTACGGATTCGCGCTTACGGAAGTTCGGTGGTTAGTTGCATTTATTACCACCAGATGTCTCTGTATTTAACTTACGGGATTCGGACTCTTAAGATACTTAAATTCGATTATATAGCAAATTTTCATATCTGCTTATGAACTGTAAAAGCACGTTAGCAATTTTTGGATAAATATTCTAGAAGCCTTAAATATTAATGAAATAATATATATTTAAAACTAAAATGTACTGGTAATGCAAAACAAACAAAAAACTTACACACATTTAAAAATAGCTGGTATTTTAAAAATACAGAGCAAATGTAACGAAAGGTTCACAATATTTACACAACATTTGCTATGCTTGCATACGACTGACTGCCATGTGAGATTGTATATTTTTAAAATATGCCCAAATTTTGAGATAAAACAAATAATATATAAAATTTTAGCATCAATTTCTTCAGTGTCATAGCTGGATAATTTATTAGAAATATAATTTTTTTTAAAATGCACTATGCGCCGTTGTATTTTATGCATAATCCATAGAATATTACTCTTAATTTATAAATTTTAAATTCATATCTCTTTTTATAGAAGTTATAAAGATAAGCATTTTTCTTTATAAGAAAATAGAAATATTTAACTAAATAACTCTTGCGCTTCAGCTAGAGAGAACGAAACTTGCAACTACACATGCCGGGAATTATTCTTTCACAAATATTAGAACCCACGTAAAATCCTTCCATAAATGGGTTATTTTGCCTACAGTTGGCAAATAATATGAAATTGGTTGTAATGCAAAACAGTTGTATAATTAATACGTTAACAAAACTTCGCTTGAATTAGTACATATATTTGGCATTATTTATGAAATTCTTAACACTAAACTGAAGCGTTTCTCAGAAATTAAATTGAAAAGATTACTTCAATCGCTTGCTCTTTTTATATATGACTTTGACATTATTATTCTATTGGGGCATAGTCACAACTTCAGGCATAGTCTTCTGAACACATTGCTGCATTTCACGTTCTAAAGCTACTTTAATTACTTCTAGAAGCCAAAGATATGACCGTACCATTTGAAACACAACATTTTTATGACAGGACAACTGGAAAACTAATCTTCCTTGAATTACTCCATAATTACCAATAATAGATGATGAGACCTTCCCTTTGATACTAAATTCATAACAACAGAATTACTAAATTATAAAAGCATTAATTTTGTTTTTAAGTATTTAAGATGAAAAATTTATAAAGTTTGGTAATCTTTTTAGGCATCATGAACTGAAACCAAAGTCTAGATAGACTGACAGGCGAATTATCACTAAGTCTAAAAGTTAACGACAGAGTCTTAAGAAAGTTGAAACGACGTTTTTATTTTGAACATAAATGCACGACTCGTGCTTACAATTTAACCAAACACTTGTACAGAGGTAAATTAAAGTAACAGACAAATATAAAATTTTAATTTAAGTAAACTAATAGCCAAAGGCTGCATAAATCAATTTAACGCGAAGTTGGTTTACAAAGCTAATAGGCGTAGATATTTAAATATCGGCAATTATAATGCAAGGCCGAAGACTATAAATCGTATCTGAGAAAAAGAGTAACGTGCCACAGAAGAGACAGAACACTCTCTGTCTTGCAATATAGAAACCTCAGCTTAATACACGCGAGCTAATTTGCATTCTGGAGAGAAACCGGAAGGGAGAAGTGACAGTAAAGATCCAAAACATAAAATAACTGGTTAGATTGACATAATAAAATGTTACAAGTTCTTGAACTAGTATTGAATGGTGGGAAACATCCCCTTATTTTTTTAAGACAACTGAAAGACGAATAGCCAGAAGATCATAATTTTGATAAGAATGGTAAAAAAATACCTGTGTATGCTGATGTATGAAACATATTGAAGACATTGACTTCATTTCAAATTAAATTCTAAATTGAAGAGAGAAGAACATCATTTTATACATTTCCTGCAACCATGCTGTAATTTGCTTCGATCAGGAATCGACATCAGAACCGTCTCAACAGAATCGTGACCCCTTAAGCTTTGTAGTGCTCTGGGACTCGAAGGTATGTTGAGTCTGGCAGGACTATCTATAAATTTGGTAAAATAAGGGCTCTTATTCCCACAGGATACTAGGACAATGTTCCTACACTAAGAAATCCCAGTTGTTTTGGTAGACCCGAATACATTCTTAAAGATCCCAGGGGCTTTTATAATGTTGGTCGTATTATCAAACAATGCACTGCGTAAGGGTATGGAATTTTAAAAACAATGAGCACAAACAACTCCGAGATTTAAACTTAAAATAAAATAATTCATTAATCAATAAAATAAAACTTAATAAAGTTAACTTACAAATTGAAACTAGAAGCGCCCCTCTTATTGACACAGCAGTGCAAACATAACGTACTGTATCAGCGTCATTTATAGTAGCTTCTGTGAATCCTTTCGCTTGCAAGCTTTCTAAAATATTTTCCAAGTTCGTTTCCCTATAAAAACGTCGACTGTTTTAGCAGTTTAAGTACTTTCACTTACAAAATTGCAAGTCTGAAAAGTTTTAAAGAGGAACAGTTGCAGCGTTAACACCACTGAAACATGCATGAAAAGTAAAAATAGAAGCAAAATATGTATTTACTCGATAGCTTTCGACACGTCCGCAGCGGTAAATACCCAACCGTCTGGCACTGTTTCCATTTTCTTAAATAAAGCTTTCCCTTTTATTAGATTAAGGAGAATATGCCTTACTATTTCTCCGACATACTTTCCAGCAAACAGTTTTTCAAACCTGTAAAAAAATAAATCAATAGATCATTGAGTTATTTTTATAATGTAAACGTAATTCATAAAATTTTTGAAAGATTTAAAATATTAGCAGATAAGAACAGATTAAAAATATACTACACTGAAACATAAAATAATGGAAGATATTTACTTACGTAAAACTGTGAACTAGAAGAGATTCTTCATCTACAAGTTTATCAATATCGGTTTTCATGAAATCTAAGACGCCGTTATCTCCGAAAGCACCCCATTCAATGTCGATGATGACCTAAAATATCTTTATTTTACTACGAACAAAAACATGCTTTATGCAAACAAGCATATTCTATTTTAAAATCAAACTTTAGCATAGGGATGTAAATACTTGGTACCTAAATTCTCACTCATTATTGAGAGACAACCTAAATCAGACAGGCCATCTTTTGTCCATTCGGTTTAAATGCCCAGAAACTTCACAGATCGAGGGGTTCTTATAAGAACCGAACGTATGAAAATAAATTCTTTGATCCTGCAGGATGTAAAAACCTGTTTTGTTTGAAATGTCGTCAAAATTACACAACATATTTACCTACACAAAAATATTATTAAGATGTTTTTATACAGTAATTTAAGCAAATCATTGCTAAAGTTTCCAATAAATATTTAATTTTAATGATTGTTTCCTAAATTAAAGAAATTATTTTCAAATTGCTGATAAGATATGCAATTTCCTTTTCCACATCATCAGTGGTATTTAATTTTATGGATGAATTCCTAATTAGAATTGTGGTGTGACTCGCTAACCTGAAGCTATTACTTCAAAAATGCAAAGCTAAGCAGGATGATTGCGATGAAAATTTTAGGAATGTAAGTTGTAGCAATATGGAGTCCATGAATAAGGAATTCGATTTGAGAAACTTATCTAATCATATGCTGATTTGAAATGCGGTGGAACGAATGATGAATAAATGCCCATTGTTACACAGATTTCCCCCAGACTAAATATTGTCTCTAATTTTGACAAAACTTGTTCAACAGCTTTTTTAAAGCAAAATTTTAATCCAATGTTTCATCAGTGGTATAATTTAGCATCTTTGATGAATGAATTTATGAAATATACATTTCTTTCTTTACATTGCGTAATTCAAAAGAGAAATGTAATAGATAATAAGGAATATTACAATAATATACCTCTTCAATGCCGGGATGTTGACCTTCCCATTTTTTTATTCGGTCCACTTTTTCAAAATACGATGCATTGCAGCCTGTACCTATGAAATAAATTCTAATTAGTTTAAACAGATAAAAGTCTCCAAAAACAACTGTCCTATAAGGTATATAAACCTTCTCACAAACTCAATTATAGACTTAAAAGTACATATTTTTAGTTTTCGTGTTTGATGTTACGCAATGTAAAAATAATTACAGATGTTTATATTTGATGGAAATTATTACGTATAATCTAATTGCCACAAATACTGCAAGAATTACGAATCACACAAGCTGGATTTTACTCGACTTATAAATTAAAAGTTCGTGATTTTCAGATTTTTTAAAATTAAATACGCTGATTATAAAATATTTGACGATCCATTTACCCAACTGCGTATGTTCTACGTCAATAAACTGCGAAGTAGATATATAACGAATAGCTGAAGCCCCATTTAAATAAACTGCGAAGTATATATCTACGGTAAGTCAAAAACGTGGCTACATATTTGACTGCATTGCACGATGAGAGTATTATGGCTACAAAGAAAAAAGTTAAACAGTTGGCCATGTGAGACACCTGCCTCAGATGAATGGCAAGAAGAAGTACCAAATTGGCTGCGAAGTTTTAGAAATATATTAAAAAAATAAATTACGATTGTAAATTTTCAGTTTTGAAACGTTCGAATGTTTCTCAGAACTTTGTTAAAATGTCGAGGAACCTAAAGATTTAAGTAGCGAATTATTGCTATGTTCAAGTATTTACGACAAATTCTCAAGAAGGGTTAAACTACCCTTTTATTCACTCAAAGAAATAATAACAGATGGCCCCTTCTTGGGTTTACAAGAAAGCCTCCACTCGGGCTTTTAAATCAGTATAAGAAAATAAGAACCTATTCTAATGCTGAACTAAATAGACTTAGCTGAAGCTAGACACAAATACCTAACGTAGTTGTACCTTCATTTGACCTAGCCGGCGATTATCAACAGGCATGTACAATACGGCCGAGTGTAGTAGATTCAAGAACGAAATAGCCAGAAGGCAAACACGCACAACTAAGGACTTCCAAGCACTCTATTTCGAAGTAAGTTGAACTTCCCTTAAATACTTCTTATAACTCATTTGCATAAAACGCGATACTAAAAACTCATTCTGGTAGATAACAGTAGATGGAAAACAAGAATAGACAGTAAAGCATGTTTAAACTTAAAATAACTATTAGAAACTTCCACAACGTAACCTCCACAACGGATCGAGAGGTATGATTTCAAAATGTCATATTTAAAACGATAAAAGAGAACTTCTTGAGAACTTGCCCATTCGCATATTTTTTCTTAATGAATTAACCAAACCAAATCAAAAGCTTAATTAATTTTTAAAGATTTAATATTTAAAGTGACTCAGAAAAACCTTTATCACATATTTTGTACAATTTAAATTCCCTGTTATTCCTTTATACTCATAAAAATGCATCCTAATTATATAATGGATCAATGGGTTGAAACTCTCTTAGCCTCTTTAAGAGCTTAAAGAGAGCCTCTTTAAGCAAATCAGTTAAAAATTTTTAGGCATGTCGTTGTAGACTTTTATATTGCAAGAAACATATAGAGTGATTATAATTCAGTGGTTCTCAATATCTTTTGCCCCATGAACCCTTTTACAATACCTAGAAGTTCACCCCTTTTTAAAACTTGAAAAATATATATAGCATTTATTCAAATTTTGATTATTTTATAAATTAAACAACAAAAAATATAGAAAATGTTGGTAAATACAAAACTAGAATAAAAGTAGTTCTTTATATTCATAAACTAAAACTAAATTAAGAGCTAAATAAAAGGCTGACCGCATCCAGTTTGTAGTTTAGCTAAACTAACGAAATCCCCCCCGTACAAGGCTGCTGAGAAACTGTTATAATTAATTAAAGTTCCACTTTCAGTAGGATGTAAAAAAAATGAACTATTGGCCAGAATGACCTGAAGCAATGAGAATTTGTCTAGCGAAAAATAGGTCGAAATTTTATTTTAAAAAAATCGATTTTTAATTGTCTCTAGACCAAAAACCGTATAAGAGAAAATTATTAATACAGTTATAATTGTCCTTAGACTAGCTTAAGATGTTCAGTGTGCTGTCCACTGTTTTCTGCCCCTAGCTGTAATCCTGAAACAACATGTTTCACTGTAGATTGGAGAGTATGCGTGTTGATGTTGTGAATGTGGTATGTAATGCGTATCTTCAGTTCAGCTAAACTCGCAATCGCGCCACTGTAAACAACACTTTTCAGGTAATCCCAAAGTCAGAAAACAAAAGGATTAAGGTAAGGTGATCGTGGCGGCCAGGCTGTTGGAAAATGATACTGTCATTTCTGAAATGGATATTCAGCAGCTGCACGTCACTGCGTCACTACAATGCGCAAAGGTGCGCCATCTTGCATAAAAATTGTGCAACTCCCACATGCACGCTGTTGAAGTGCTGAAAGATCTAGTTGCGTAAAATAGATTCATGTCGTTTGCCATTTATGGTACAGGTAACAGGATCCGCACGGCATATCTCCTCGAAAACAAGTGGGCCAGTTACAAACGCTGTCATAAAACCGCACTACACAGTGGCCTTTTCTGTACGAAAAAGCAATTAGTGCAGTGGAAATGGCTTATCCGTTGCCCATATTATGCAATTTTGAATATTGAGAGAACCTAGGAGATGGAAATGGGCTTCGTCTGTCCACAAAATGTTACACGGCCATGAACTGCCCAGTTGTGCGATGATATTGTACAAGAACGTGAAATGATTTCTAGTCAATCAGAGACGGTTTTCGATTATATTTTCCTAAAATAGGAATATGTTTTAAAACAAGAATAGATTAGGACTATAAAATTGTTCTTTCAAGAGTAGCAAAAAAGCAAACTTATCATTCTAAAATTCCATCAGAATCACCCGAATCTTATTTTACGATAACAATTTTTAATTATATTTTGATTGATGTAATTTTGCATCTTAAAGGAAGATTCACAAAGCAGTTAAAAATTCATTAAATATTTTAATCATACCGCAGACTGAACTCATATCTGCAGATGAAATAAAAAATAGAAATGCTGAATGAAACATATTCTTCAGATTTGCTAGATTTTAGTATTAGTACTTAAAATGTGAGCCATGGAAAAAGAAATTACAAGCACAACCGACTAGATTCACTGCTATAGAAGCTTTACAAGAGTACAACGTAGATATTTTCCCAAATATACATAAACTTCAAAACAGTTTAGTCACCTTGTACGTTAAGATAAGTACAGCTGAAAGATCGTTTTCTATTATGAAATATTTACAAAACTACTAGAGAAATAATGATTTGAACTGCGTTTAAATGGATTCTATTTGTATATAATATATATATATATATATATATATATATAATGTATTTCTAAGTTGAACTCTCTAAATATACATAATTGCATACTTAAACATTACAGCATACACAGCCATCAAAATTTTAATTGAGACAATGGAAAGTAAGGGGTGAAATTTTCATGATTTCAAATTTAATTATAACTTTATACGTCCTTCTGTCAGAAACACAATTAACTGGTCATTTCACACATATATAGCGTTCACACGATAAACAAAAACTGGCCAATTCAGAGTAATCCCTTTTATGAAATCTTGATAGAAAAATTAAATTAACTTGAAATCTGCAAACACATTATTTTATTAAAATTATTAACCATGCAGAAATAAATATAAGATAATAAGTTAACTTTTCTTTCATGTGAAACTATATATTTGTATAAAATTTTATAAGGTATTCGAGAAACATTATTACTTGAATGGTCCAATGATCCAGGAAAACAAATTGTACATTGTAGGGTTTGGCTTGCTCTGGAAGCATAAACTAGTTCCAAACTCCTAAGAGACGTAAAGAAAATTATCGCTGTGTTTGAAATTAACTATATGGTCTTGGAGAGGTTTAAAATTAACCTTTTTATTTAAACATAAGCTTTGAACAAAAATGTACTTCTACTGCTAACAGAATCATCCACCACTTGTAACAATGCAACTAAAGTAACAGTGAATTCAAATTTAAAACGCACAGGCAAAAAAACTACACAATTAAATTTAAATCTATGTTGGCTCAAAAAATAATTAATTGGGGTTAATATGTCGGCAGCAACAGCAAAGCTGAATAATTATAAACTTAGAAGTGCTGGCAAGAACTACGTAACGTGGCTTCAAGAGGCAAAAACACGCTCTGTTTTACAATCCCTAAAACCTCAGCTTAAGTAATCTCTAATTCAGTTTATGTTTTGGTAAGGAAACAAAAGTTTAAGTTACACTGAAGGCTGAAATTATAAATAGCTGACTAATTTAAACAATAATTCTTTCAACGTAAATATAAATATCATATGAAAGAAAAATATTATTAAATGATTCAAACTGATCGCTATCAAAAATCTATTTCAGCACATTGCCATCAACATGCATTTATAATGTAAACTTCTTCATACTGAAAACAAGATGGGTTGGAAAATAGCACAGCAAAAGGGTCTTGAACTAACGAAAAAAGAAAAATCTCATCAATATCAAATTAGTCTTTGTGACTTCCTCCTTTCATTTGTTTTCGTGACGTCAACATCATGTGACAGCTCATGTGTCAGCCATCATTAGAGCAATATGACCGTTAATGAGGTAGAAAAGCTTTTCGTGTGCTCAAATATCCGAAAACAGTTCTTTTTACTGTTGCATAGCGCTCGTTTAGAACACGGGATGGATAAAATCTGCCTTGACGTTGGACTAGACTTTCCACAGGCCAAAACGTGGCTCTAATGACCACCAAGAAGTCTGGATTAATCTGTGTTCTTTTGGGGATGCATTAAGGACTGAGTTTTATTATTGCCCAGGTTTTACAAGTTCAGATAGTCTTAAATAGCAGTAACAACAGCGTGACCATGCCAAAAGCGTACAAGAGCTGCTGCAGCTCTGACGTGGTCATTATTAAGAAGTGTTCGGAAAGAACCTGATTATCGCCTTGATATTCGTCATGTTATAATAGAGTCACGCATATAATAT